ACCAGTTCACCACTCACCATCATGGAGAAGGAGAACCTCTCCCTCCTTTCCTTGGTCCTCCTCCTCGCCGCCTCGCCCCTCGTCGCCGCCGCATGGTTGTCGGACTCTGACGTCGAAATCGTCGCATGGTCGGAGTTTTTCTCCAGTACTAAGGTTTGACATAAGTTTCTTTCGCACTTCAACATTTGCCAAACACACAAAACTCAAACTGTAACATTTGTTCCGATGCAAGTGAATTGTACTAACACATCATTTCTCTTCGCCCAAACAGAATAGATAAACTTTCTGAACTCCTACATAAACCGGGCAAATATGTGAAAGTAATTCAAGACATATGCGAAATTTGTATTCAAACATATGTACCTATATTCCATTGGTATTCATTTTTAAACAGTTTTATTTAACTAATGTACTCAAGAAATATTGTTCGGCTATACTTAACATCAGGTTTTCTGCATCACATTCCAGGAAGAAACACAATGTTTGAAGCCTTTGCTATGGGGATCATATTTCAAGCATTCGGTCTAGCATGTCTTTTCTTCTTGTTTATACAGGCTTGGCGCCATGACAGTAAAAAAGGCACCATGACGTAAGGACCCCTTAATTGTCCCAAACATTTACCTGAGGTTAAACTGTTTCCTGTCAAAATCATAAAAAAAAAGTTCTGTGGAACTACCACCCAAACATGTTAGAAGTCTTGCGCTAACAGTACAAAACATGATAGCTAGTGATTTCAACCTCTCAGAATTATTTTTCAAATGAATTTAGTTTTTGTGCTTCCAATTGTCATACTCTTAAAGTTTTATCTTCCTTTCTAATATAATACAGAGTAGCATGGAACTATATAAATTCCTCATTTCCTCTTACATATATAATGCAGGCGTCACACCCCTCTTCTATCTGGAGATCAATAGTTGAGCGGCTTGGCCACAAGTTTGATGACACCTAGTGTGATGGAAAAAAAAAACATTAAGGCACAGAAAGTAAAAGGGGTGATCAATGGATGTGAATATTCTTATTGGAGAATAATGGAACGAAGGATACTGATTTTCCAGCAGCTCAAAGGTCTTCAGTTTGATCCCTGCAATGAAGGAAAAGTGTTCATTTTACATACTATGTTTTTTTTCCATCTCATTTCAAATTCGTCGTCTCGCTGTCCATATCTCAGAATATGCATGTAACTCCAAGGTGCAGATATTAAGTGCTAAGCACTTCTGAATCATCGATCAATGGCTTGTTCGAGTGGGCTCATTGATTTCTCTCACTACATTGATAGCATATATACGTATAAAGATGTCCTCAATTTGTCAAGAACTTCAACATCTTATTTTACTCGCCAGATTAAAATATTACGCCCTCCATCTCATCAAATTATAAGTCGTTCTAAATTTTTTGAGAGTCAAAAGTATGTGAGTTAACTAAACTTATATAATAAAACAATAACATTTATGATATCAACTAAGTATCATTATATTCTTCATTATTATATTTTCATAGTATGCCTATTTAATGTCATAAATCTTTGTAATTCTCTCTATAATTTTGGTTATACTTGAAATGCTTTCTCTCAAAAAAATCAGAATGAATTCTAATTTGGAATGGAGAGAGTACTAACTACAGCCGGCTCCACTAGGGTCCAAAAGTCAACATCGCTCTCTTTGCAGGAAATGCGTGTTAATCCTCGCTTATATTTTGCTCTCTCGTCTTCTTGGCGGTCTGGCTCAAGTCCAAAGTAAGCACAAACATGAAACATCTCACAGCCATGCGGTTTTTCTGCCTGCTTCCATTCCTCTTCGTGCTGCTCCCTCTTGACGCCAATGGCGACACCCGGAGCGTTATCTGCCTCGGCCGTGGCAACAGCACATCGATCAACAGCGACTACGAAGCCAACATCCACAGCCTAGCTGCCATGCTTCGATCCGAGACAGCATCTGCCACCCCCGGTCTCTACACCGAATATGTCGTCGGAGATCTCCCTGACGGTGTGTACGCAGTCTCACGCTGCCGCAACGGCACGGACTCCTCATCCTGCCGAGCCTGCGTCACCTTGGCCCTCCAAGAAGCTCGAACAGCGTGCCCGTACCACAGGGAGTCTGCGTTCTTCAACGGCAACTGCTCTCTTCGTTTATTACCTGGTGTCCATTTCGACGACCTCGTACTTGTTTCCTCAGAAACAGAAAGTGAGTTGTTCTCTTCTTATCCATTTTTTCGTTATGCAGTCCATAATATACTTGATGGAATTACTTTCAATTCACTCTTAGTACCGACATATATTTGTGCGTCAGTACTAAGAGTAGATTATTGTTTCCTTATGCATGCACGCATTAGATGGATTATTGTTTTCCTTCTATTTCAGGTAGAGAAAATATTTTAAATGACATACTTCTTTGTTAGCATCTCCAAGCTGAAAGCCTTGCTAATGTCTCCTTCCTTGATATCATCTGCAGCCTTGTTGGGTTCACTTTCGTCCTTGTTAGCATACTCCCTCCATAGTATCCAAATATAAGAAATTCTAGGGACACAAACAGTTTTCTATTAAACAGTTGCATAAATTTTCTGTCAAAAAAATAGTTGCATAAATTTGGTAGGCATTATATTGTTACTTGTCATTTATCAACCAATCATGTTTATGACAGCGTCTGAGTAGCCCAGTCTACAAGTATATTAACTGAACACAGGCTCTTCTGTCATTATATATCATCAAAATGCCTATGTTGAGTTTGAGTTAATCACCATTAAGAGCCTAATTCTGCTTCCGTCATCCCTGTACCCCTGGAAACTACTATATATTCATGAAGCTCTCTCTATTCGAGAAATTAATTACATGATCCTCCACATATTAATATTCGTGAAATCCATATATGTACTTCTGCGTTCCAGTATTGTAGGCAGTACATGCCTCACATGTTATTTTCTGTATCTGCTAACTTAGCATTCCTTTTCACTTTCACTTAACATCAATGGTGCTAAACGTCCAGCACTCCAAATTCAAGTTTTCCTTTTCCTTTTCATTATTTCAGCAAGAAACATTGTGATGAGGAATCTGTCCTTGGCTATGGTATTTCAAGCAATTGGATTCGCATGGCTTTTCTTCTTGCTTCTGCAGGACTCGCGTGATAGGAAAAGATGCTCTGAAATGTAAGTATTTTGAACTATATATGCAAGTCCTATGTTCGCTAAAGTTGGCTAACAATGTGGAACAAAATACATTGTGATCATATAACATTGTGTCCAAGTAATTTAAAATTCTCTACCTTTTTTCATGGAACATTTGAACTGTACATTTGTACCTTAGCATTGTCAGTTTAAGCAATTTCTAACAATATATGGTTCTGATAAGCATTCTAGCTCTCTTCCATCAGGAAAAGATGAATAACATTATGGCATTGTTATGCAGGCGTTCAAGATGCCTGTCATCTGGAGACAATTAACCATCAGCACCTACAGAATTTTCAGAATCAGCTCCTAGTTTCAGTGCATCCTTTCCCACTTCCACTTAGATCCACATAAACTAATTCCAATATGAACTTCTCCAATGCTGGTATTGAGTTCTGCTTGGGGATATATATAAACCCTGACATCTGTAAAGCCTCAACTTATTATGAATTGGCATTGAATAAAAAACTATGAGCAATTGAGATTGTGCAGGCAGATCGGATGCAATGTATTGAGTCCACATGTAGTGATAAATTGCAAAAAGAGAAGGGTTCAACAAACCTTCTGACTTGTGAGCATATCTAAATTGGATTGTATCATCCGAACAACATATACGTCGAAAAAAATGTGTGCAACTCTAAACCGGACCTAATCAGCTGGCCCAATCAGACAATCACCGAATCACGCCATGTTAAGATAATGAACATAACAAATCCAGAACGCGAGGAAGCAACAATGCAGTCATCATCTACAAAACCACAGATGGAATAAATAAAAACTGTATAAATATGCCAAATCATTCTTCGAATTGTTTCGTACGAGATGGCCTAAGTCGAGGAGAAAACAAAAAGAAATTGAAAACTAGTGCTTAGTGGGCTACGCGCCATGAATTTAGTTGAGCTGGTTCTCTATTTGAGAAGGTTGGGCCAGAAGCTAGCTGACTTGGAGCCAACGATTTTTGGATGTTTGGGGCACGCCCACGCTCACGCTGGTGGGTGGACAGGTGTCGGTTGAATATTAATTTAATTATAAAACTAATTACATAGATAGAGATTAATATACGAGATGGACTTATTAAACCTAATTAGTTTATGATTTGACAATGTGGTGAGTGAACACGGGCCACTGATGAATTAATTATATTTAATAAATTCGTCTGCTAGATTAGTCTCTACTTATATAATTAGTTTTATAATTTTAATGTGATACGGAGTAAACTCGAGTGCCTCGAACCAAACGCCCCAATGTCATCCGAGTAGCACGCATGTCGCATTGATGCATCATGTACGATGTATCGACCAGCACGGCAGGGCAAATCACCGGCGCATTGATGCATCATGTACGATGTATCGACCAGCACGGCAGGGCAAATCAAAATCAACAGGGGCGTGCCTGAACTCGCCGTTGCCGCGTTGCTAAACTTCGAAGCGTAGGAAAACGATCTGTTCATAGTAGTAGACGGTATGGCAGTGTGGCACGATACGGCGTTGCAAGTCTTCATGCTGAGTGCAGCCACTCTCGTTGATCTTGCATGCGAGTGACGTCGCCGATCGGCTCCACCGTCGTGTACTGATACTGTACTGTACCCCCGCCTGGGACCGCCGGCAGCCACAACTTAGCTGGTGTGGGCCCTGTAGATATTTATGGCTGGTTCCATGCTGTCAATGAGTCGTCAAGTCAAACGAGCCCCACACAAGTCAACACATGGGCCCTATTACAGTGATGGCACACACACGTCTGCCGTCCCCTCTTCATTCATTTCGCTTCGCACGGCTGTGCCAGACCCGGTCCGGCACCACGCCAGCCACGGCTCCTGCCACTGCCATTGCGCCGCCGCGCAAACCATGGCCATGGTTGTGCACCATCACCACCTGCGCCCCTACCTCGCCACTGCCACCGCGCTCTTCCTCGCACTCACTATCGCGCCTCTCGCCGCCGGGGACCCGCTGGGCCAGCTCTGCGGTACCAGCGGCAACTACACGCGCAACAGCACCTACCAGGCCAACATCCAGCGCCTCGCCGCCACGCTGCCCAGGAACACCTCCGCCTCCCCGACGCTCTTCGCCACGGACACCGTCGGCGCCGTCCCGGACATCGTCTACGCGCTCGCGCTCTGCCGCGGCGACGCCAACGCCTCCGCCTGCGGCGACTGCGTCGCCACCGCGTTCCAGGACGCGCAGCAGCTGTGCGCCTACAACAAGGACGCCACCGTGTTCTACGACCCCTGCCTCCTCCGCTACTCCAACCAAAACTTCCTCGCTGACACCAACAGCGACGGCCGCGGGACCGCGCTCATCCTCATGAACACGCAGAACGTCACCGCGCCGTTCAAGGTGTTCGACGCCGCCGTCGCCGTGCTCCTCAATGCCACCGCCACCTACGCGGCCGCCAACTCGTCCAAGAGGTTCGGCACCGGGGTGGAGGCGTTCCAGAGCTTCGACAGCAATAACCCGAGGATCTACGGGCTGGCACAGTGCACGCCGGACATGTCGCCGGCCGACTGCCGGAGCTGCCTCTCGGGTATTATTCAGACGGGCGCCAAGTACTTCAGCGGGAAGCAGGGTGGCAGGGTTCTTGATCTGCGGTGCAACTACAGGTACGAGCAGTACTCGTTCTTCACAACCACCCCGCTGCTTCAGCTGCCGGAACCTACCGTGGGGGCCCCAGCGCCGGCGCCAGCGCCCGCGGTGGTGAACGGAACGCCAACGCCACCGACGACCGGAGGAGCACGAGGTGAGACTTGGGGGGATTGGATTAAAGGTGCCATCTTTTTGCATCCACGCGCATGGTTCCAAAAGGGGAATTTAGCAACAAGGCTAATGTTGCTAAGATCCGACGAATTTGCTTCGATTCCAGTAAAATAAGTAACCGACGAGTGTCAAAATCACTAAACCCTGAAGGGCTGTTTGTTGTTTGTTTTCTTCCGATTAGTTTGTTCAATAATTTACATTAAAATCGAGGAATCAAGTAAGCGAAGAACAAATCCCGCGCACGTGTCTGCTAGTTTTTCTATGTTTCTTTCTCTGATCTTGACATTAAAATGCAGTCCCGTAGCTATCAGTTGCCTCACTAGTCACTGCGAACATGGAACAATGGAAGTTCACACATGAGTACATGACCCGACTCCTCACTTCCTGAGTTCTGACCAGTTCAACATCTTGGCTGAGTCAGGAGTCAGGTGTAAGAAGTAAGGGAAAAGTGATAAAAGAAACTCCTTTATCAATTGGTCTGACCGTCTGAGGTTAATTAACATTGGTCATATACACGTGCATTTTCTAGATTGGTCAGTTCAGGCAAGATTGTATGACCGTGCACCGTAAAGCAAAATTGTATGACCGTGCACCGTAAAGCTATGCTGCTTCCTAGAGTTCTTTCTTTGACCTGAAACATAAATGTGTACAGACAGGTATCAGTTACTTTAATTTGCTAGTCGTTTTATATGCCAAATTAAGCTTAGTTGCTCTTGTCTTGCTCAAGACTTACCATCAGAGAGCTGCCAAATGACAAAGCGCCGGGGCCGGATGGATTTACGGCCGCGTTCTATAAGTCGACTTGGGACATTATCAAAACCGACATTATGCACTCCATCAACGCGTTCTGGTCACTCGACTTCAGAAGCTTCCATCACTTAAATGGCACGTATATGGTCCTGTTAAAGAAGCGGCCCAACCCGTCTGGAATCGGAGACTACCGGCCCATTAGCCTCATACACAGTTTCAGCAAGATCATCACTAAGTGCTTGGCACGTTGGGTAGCTGTGGTGGCAGATCACCTTGTCCTACAAAATCAAAGTGCCTTTATCAAGGGGAGAAGCATTCATGATAACTTCAGGAACGTCCAACTCACATGCAAGGCTATGCACGTCAAGAAAGCAGCTTGTGTCATGCTGAAAGTCGACATTGCAAAGGCTTTCGATACAGTTGCATGGTCCTTCCTCCTTGAGATCCTACGGCACATGGGATTTGGCCAAAGATGGAGAAATTGGATATCTACCATTCTGTCTACGGCCAGTACCAGAATACTGCTCAATGGTCATCCAGGCAGACGTATTTGCCATGCCAGGGGACTCCGCCAAGGGGACCCATTGTCGCCACTACTGTTCGTATTTGTCATGGAGGTCCTCAACCGCCTACTGGTCTGGGTGGAGACGCGGGGCCACTTGTCGCCCATCAGTGGTATTGCTGCTTCTCGCGTAAGTCTCTACGCTGATGACCTCTTGCTATTCATCAAGCCCACAGAGAATGACCTAAGGGTGGTCATGGCTACCCTCAACATCTTCGGCCTTGCCTCGGGACTGTTCTCCAACCTGCAGAAAAGTGTCGCCACGCCTATTCATTGCTCGATCGGAAATACTACGCATTCAGACATCCTGGCCTGCGCCATTCAGACTTCCCTTGCGGTATTCCGCTCTCGGTTCGCATAAGTCAAGCGCGGACGAACAACCAACGCTTGATAAGGTCGCAGCAAGGATTCCGGGTTGGAAAGGAAATTTGCTAAATCTCGCTGGGCGATCCGCTCTTGTCCGAGCAACGCTTATCGCAATTCCGATCCATACCTCCATCGCACTGCCTCTCGCCTTTGGGCAATTGGATGTATCGACAAGCTTCGACGAGCTTTTATCCGGGCAGGCTCCACTTCTCGGTGGTGGGCGGTCGCCGCAAGGTGGCTCGGACAATTGTCTGTCGTCCCAGGGAGCCGGGCGGCCTGGGCATTGCGGATCGACCAGGGCGGTGTCGCTTATGGACGCGGTGGCTTTGGAAGGAACGCGTCGCAAGGATAGCTACAAACACCAAGGACACAGTTTCGCTTGCTTGCTCGCTCTGTGCAAAGAATCGCTTTCACCGTGGGCGACGGAGATCGACCCTTTTACGGACGGACCACCGGCTGCGGGGCTCCCCGTGTTCGTGACATTGCACCGACCGTTTTTGCTGCGCGTTACGTCGCGAAGAGAAGGGCGGCGATGAGCTGAGGCTATCATTGATGATGCATGGGTACAAAGACATTACAAATACCGCCGACAACAAAGGCAGCTGCTAATTGAGTTTGGTAAGCTCACACCTCATTGAGGGGGTACAACTCACGCCAAACCCGAGACACTATCACTTGGAAGTTCTCTGAGGATCAGGCTTACTCGGCGGCCTCGGCGTCGGGCGCCATGTTCCTCGGTTGCTCCACTCACCGGGCGCAAGACAGATCTGAAGACCGGTGCGCCGCCATGAAAAGCGCTTCTTCTTCCGGCTGATCATGCATGATGGTGTTGGACGGCCGAAGCGCCGATTTCGCACGGCCTACAACATTCCAATGATTTGTGTTCGTGTGATCAAGAAGTGGAAACGATGGACCACATTCTTCTTGGATGCTCCTTCACCATGTGGTTTGGCACATTTGGTCAGTGCAAGCTGCACCGCAAGACTCCATTGTACCCAGCCAGAACCGCCTTTGCATTGGTGGTTAAAAACAGAAACTCATCCCCAAGCAGCAGCGTCGTGGCTTTGACTCATTCTTCTTCCTCATCGGTTTGGGCGCTTTGGAAGGAGCGTAATGCAAAACCTTCAACAATTCGATAACCACGGCTCGGCAGACTCGCGTTATTGGTGCGGGACGAGGTGGAAGCCTGATGCACGGCCGGTTCAGCGCCTCCGCTCACTCGTGGCCGTGATGTGAGGCTTCCGGCTGCTTGCGTGTGTTTTAGTCGCAAATTAGTTGCTATGTAATCGCTTTATGGTGCTCGTTGTTCGTTGGAGTCCGGTAACCTTGGATTACCGTCTCCAAGTTGTTGTTTGAAACTCCTCTCTTCTTAATGAAAAGCGCGCTTCGGCGTGGTCGGAAAAAATAAATTAATGCAGCAATACATAAAGGCTGTAGCACTATGAACATCAAACAATTTTCTCCTTTTGTGTAGCTTATTGATTTTTGAACAAGAAATTAATATAATTAATATGCAGGGATGGAGGCATCCCTAGTTCCCTACCCCAGTACCCCTTCATTCCTCTTCAGCCTGTTCGTTTCGGCTGAAATGATCGTAGACTATAAGCCAGAAGTATTGCTGGCTGGTTTGGTGTGAGAGAAAAATACTGTTGCAGCTTATAATCCACGATCGTATAAGCTGAAACGAACATGCTGCTTCTCTTCCTTCTTTTTGACCCACCCCTGTTAGTACATGTATATGATGTGCCAGATGCATTAACTTTTATGGATTCCTGTTATATTACTTTAACATTGATGAAATTATTAACTGATGCTTTCCATTTACAGGAACAAAAGGAAACAAAACTGGTAGAGCTTTAGCCATTGCACTGCCTATAGTTGCTGCAATACTAGCTACTATAGTACTTTGTTCATGCCTCTGGAGGAGGAAGAGGAAAACGCCAGGGAAGTCAACACTACCAGGTAAGTCCCTTGTGCAGTTCAGATAATTCAAATCCCATTCTTTTGCTTTTTATACAACTTTTTTTTGCCATGTCTAGACATAATCCTCTTATGAAAGTAGGAAATGCACTGATGTTTTAGACATCATTATTAATTAGAAATTACACGTTCTCTTATGACAGACACAACTAATCCAGAGGACATACAAAGTATTGATTCTCTCATTATTGATATATCAACTTTGCGAGCTGCAACAGAAAACTTTGATGAAGCCAATAAGCTCGGTGAAGGAGGTTTTGGTTCAGTATATAAGGTACGACTCATATATTATATAAACCTTTTTTTTCTATATTTTGTAGTTCTGGTACTCAAATATGTTCATTTGTACAGGGAATCCTCCCTGATGACCAGGAAATAGCAGTGAAAAGGCTCTCACAGACTTCTAGGCAAGGGATGGAGGAGCTGAAAAATGAGCTTGTATTGGTTGCTAAGCTGCAACACAAGAATTTAGTGAGGCTTGTTGGGGTTTGCTTGGAGGACCATGAAAAATTGCTTGTCTATGAATACATGCCCAACAAAAGCCTCGACACTATTCTATTCAGTATGGTTACTCACTCAGTATCTTTGAGCAACAGTGAAACAACTGAAATTTTACAGCATACATTTATGTGTTTTTTTGTCTGCATCTGACAGATCATGAGAGATGTGGTGACCTGGATTGGGGGAAGAGGTTTAAGATAGTTAATGGGATTGCCCGTGGCTTGCAGTATCTTCATGAAGATTCTCAAGTGAAGATAATCCACCGGGATCTTAAAGCGAGCAATGTTTTATTAGACTATGACTTCAATCCTAAGATCTCAGATTTTGGCTTAGCAAGGCTATTTGGAAGTGACCAATCACAAGATGTCACCAACCGCGTCGTCGGAACCTAGTAAGTGTTGTTACCATTCATTGCCCTTGGATGACCTATATATAAGTGTACACTAATGTGCAACACAATATTCTTGTCATAGTGGATACATGGCCCCTGAGTACGCCATGCGTGGGCATTACTCTATCAAGTCCGACGTGTTCAGCTTCGGTGTTTTGATCCTAGAAATCGTCACCGGAAGAAGAAATGGTGGCTCCTATAGCTCTGATGAATCTGCTGACCTCCTTAGTTTGGTGAGCGCATACTGCATAGCCAATACAAAACTTTGTGCCCCAGTTATATTATACTTTACAAGTTTAGAGCAACAACTGAACAACATCAAAGTAATTTGGTTATCTAATGCAGGTGTGGGAGCACTGGACGACGGGAACATTAATGGAGATCATGGATTCATCCTTGAGCAGCCTTGCTCCGCGAGACCAGATGTTGAAGTGCATCCACATCGGGCTCCTTTGTGTTCAAGACGACCCCGGAGATAGGCCGATGATGTCTACAGTGAATGTCATGCTTAGTAGTAGTACGGTGACCCTCCAAGCTCCATCTAGGCCGGCGTTTTGCATCCCAAAGAGTGGCTTCAACTCAGAGATGAACTCAGAAGTGTACCCAGGAGCTTCACAATCTGCAAGCAGATCACCTATGTCGCTGAACGACGTTTCAATCACTGAGCTTGAGCCCAGATGATGATTCTCCTCGAATAAGTGGCGGACCAATAGGTATTGAGGGCGAAATACGTCCTTATTGAGTGTTGTGTTTTACCTGAGCCGAACACGTAATGACGTAAGTGTGATCGGTATACAAAACTATAGTAAACTACCAATATGATTCTCCTATAAACTGTCAATATAGAGGTGTGTAGAAATAAGAACGTGGATAACAGAATGTATCGGTGGTTCCTGAAAATGTAGTCGCTGTATTGGTTAAAGTTGTCAGCCGTTAAATTTAACGCAAAGTCTATCATTTCAATGGTGCCAAATAAGGATACGGCTAAAGTTCGTGGAGCCAGGACAACTCAAGTACTTAAAAGATGACCAACATCATTGTTCACTTACCACTAATGAGGTAGGCAGTACCCATAGTTGTTTTAAAGTGAAGCAGAACAGGTCATTCAGTAATAAAACAATAAATAGAGGGAGAACTCCAATTTTTAGCCATCCAACTATTGTTAAAGTTTGTTTTTTGTCCACATAACATCAAAACTTTTGACCACCGAACCGTCAGTAACAAACAAATTTGGCCATCTAGCTGGTTTCAATGGTGTATTTGAATTTTCTAAAAAATAACAAAATTTGGTTTAGTTTCTAAAATTTTATCGACATATTGGTTCTCTATTTGGAGTTATTGGTATTTTAATTTTTCCAATTTCTAGTGTTTTATTTCTTTTCTTTTTTTGAGGAAGTCATGTTCATTATTTATTTAAATCATCTATAGGTAGCACGAGTGTGGCTGCAAATCAGAGCCGCATACGGCCACTGCGGCCACGGAGACGGCTTGAACCAGCGGCCTAGGACGGTGACGTGGTGGCCACCTGTAACACCCGTGCCCAGAGAGTGAGAAGACGGAGAGCAGAAAGACGTTTACCTAATAGAAAGACACTATTTACTATTGATGTAATGTGAGACTACGATGGGTGGGGCCGTCAGGTCAGAAACCTTCTATGTAATAAGCGCTGCCTGCATCAGGATCGAACTATTCCATTTGAGACAAGTAAACACGAACACGCAAGAGGCCCATCCTCTGCGTTTTTTTAATTTTAATATTTTTTGTAAACTAATTTTAAATCTAACACTATTTTTTTCTTCAAAACTAACACTTTTGGCCGCGTCTATTGCCATGGCGTGGCGAAACGCCTGTGCCGCGCTATGCATGGCGGCGCGACAGGAGGATGACGTGGCGACGACCGGGGCTGCTGACCGGTGACGTGGCAGGGTCTGTCGCGCCACCGATCTTGGCGCGGCAGTACCGCACCATCCCTAACGGCGTGGTAGTCCCAGGTAAATATCGCCCGCGAGCCACCCTCCCTCTGTCTGCCTACCCGCCACCGCGCCCGCCCGCCCACGCCCGCCGCGCCCGCCCACTCCCACCATTCAGCGCCCGCGCCGGCCGCGCCACGAACGCCGGCGCATCACGGCCGTCGACCGCCCTCTCATATCAAGGTCATCTCTCGATTTCATGTTATTATGATTGTTGTTTTAGTTAGGGTTAGTGATTTAGGATAGTTAGGTTAGTGAATTTGTTTATTTAGGTAGGTAGTTTTTAGGGTTTAGGTTGTGTGTTGTAGTATAGTTAAGGTTTGGTTAGGTAGTTAGGGTTTAGGTTACTATTAGTTAGGATTTTGGGTTTAGGGATTGATTAGGTATTTATTATTTAGTTAGTTTATAGTAGTAAAGGTTGTCAGTATGGATACTAGTTTTCAAGTGTCGGTACTTAGTAGTGCGAGATACGGCGATTTGGATGACTTGATGAAGTTTCGTCAAATGCTTATTTTTCTTGTGAAGTTGTTTAATATGTCTGTTAATGTTACTTTGAATATATACACGTGCTTTTATATTGTGTTCGTATTGCTTAACAAGTAGTTTAAATTTTGCAATGCTACATAATGTTAATTTGAATATTGTTAATTTAAATACTCTAACCCTTTTGTTTATCAATTTGTAACATGATGGCCCCTCCCACGCAGCACCTGTTGTATACCCTTCTTGAGGTGGAATACGATGACCAGCATCGAGCACACATCTTGAGTGACACCGATGCAGAGGTGGCCTTGCCTCCTTTGAGGCCCCGCACGCACACCAGGGCACACCAGTGAAACGAGCGTTACGCGCCGTATATACGGCGTGCTGGCTTCCTCGAGCTTGTCCGCATTGTCAACTACGGTCTTCCACCCCTTGACCCAGCACTACTTGCTGCAGCTGTAGACAGGTGCGAGTGCCTTTTTTGTACGTAAACATTCTTATAACCAATTTGAGGCAACTAACAGTCATTCTATTCTTATAACAGGTGGAGGCCTGAGACCCACATGTTCCACCTACCTTGCGGCGAGATGACCTTGACCATGCAGGACGTGAAGGCTATCTTTGGCCTTCGGTTGGGGGGACTTCTAGTGATAGGTATAGTTGACAACGATCACTGGAGGGAGCTGGTGGCTCAATTCACTAGCTTTCTTCCACTGGACAACAAGGTTTCCAAGAAAAATAAATGAGCAATTCAAGCCTATTTAATACTTGTATTGCTTTCCTGCAGCCATCGGGTCTTATTTTCTTTGGTGAATTTTAGGAAAAGTTTTGGTGTTTCGTCGTCCTGGATCACAGAGCGCTTTGATTGTAACAGAACCGACCAATTATACGAAATTAAGTAAGAAAATCACCCGCTAGAGCAGACGATTTAGCAAACTTAAGCCCGTATAATCCAGTAGTCCGTGAAATCATGAAGGATTTCTAACCAACTCACATACCAGCCCAGATCGTAATAAGTTTAGCGGTCACCATCACATATTACATAAAAGTTTGCATCACAGATATATCAGAGTTTAAACATAGTTATTACAAACGAGTTCGAATAAAAGTAGCGGAAGCCATTTGTTCAAAACCACACACACTCACACGGAGTTCAAATATAGTGCCAGCTAAGGATCATCTCCAACAAAAGCATCAGACGAGACGTAAGGAATGACCATGCCCATGGTCCTAAGCATCACCCATCGTAGGATAAAGGCAGTTGATACAGTAGCCGTAATACATCTGCCCATCTGCAACAAGTGGAAATAAAACCCTGAGTACGAGAAGATACTCAGCTAGACTTACCCGACATAACCGAAAATAAAGTGACACCAAGGATTATGAAGGGCTTTATAGTAGGGTAGCTGACTCATTTGCAAAAAGAGACATTTTTAGTATTTCAAGAACCTTTCCAAAAGCATTATTGTCAAGTTAATTATTATTAGCCTATCGACTATATTTGCACCTATGCTAGAGCAAGCATGTGATTAAGCAAATAATGATAACCAATGATCATTAACAACTTCCATAATGTCATACTCATTATAACTGTCCAAGTGTTCCATCAACATTACTACGATGAAGTCACTCAAGTCAAGTGCTCACTATCCAGGAGCGATGGCGATTCGAATCGATTCCTAACCAGCTGGTGATTTATTACTTACACAAACCTCACTCACCCGCTAAAGTAAGGTATCGGTCACCGAGTCAACTATCCAGGAATCTCGAGTTTGCCAGGAACCACATGTACCCGGGGGCCGACCGACTGCTCTTTGGTCTTATCTTCGTGCCCCCGTGTCCTACCACACCTGCTCCGGTACAGTGCGCTGCGGGCAATCTACTCGGCCCGAATAATCTCCCAGCTTCACGGTCGAAAGGTACTTTATT